CCCCATGGCAGCCTTTCTCTCTGCTCCCTCTTCTTAGAGCCAGCCCATCCCTTCCTCCCTAGCTGTCCAAGTCCTGGCTGCTTCCCTCTTTTAGTCACATTGCCCTGTGTGCTAGGCTCTGACATGCCAGGCCTTGACATACCTGGCTGATTGCAGGTTCAAGCAGTGCTTACTGGATCTGAATGACACCATCTCCAACATCATTGGCATCACCTTCTTCAACCTGCTGGAAATCCCATGCTTTGTGCTGGAGCAAAGTGAGGAGTGCATGGAGTGGCACTGGTGGGGAGGGTGAGTACCCATTCCAGGGTCAGAACAGTGACCTGAACTCAAATTATTGCAGGGCTTCCTAAGCTAAGAGCTGACAGGTTAGGACAGGCTATAGCTTTGCCAGGCACCAATTTTTCCAGACCAGGTTCATCCCAACAGCAATTCACCCACTGTGCGTGCTCTGTACAGTGCAGGCTGGGTGTCTCTCCGGCTTGTCATCACCCTTGTCACCAGCAGAAGAATTGTGAATGTTCTGAGGGCAGAAATGACTGCCTCTGACTGCCAGGGCATGGAAAACACCTGTGTGCCCCTAAGGGACTGACTGCCTGGGAAGACCCCATGAAATCACAGTCCTATGAGTGAGAAATTCCTAACCAACTGGGTCCTTGAGAGCTCATGCAAGACCAGGCAGAGTCAGGCTGTGCCCAGTGGGCAGTGGGCTAAACAGAGATGGACAGAGTTTCTCGTTCCTCAGCCAAGCTGCCCCACCCTACTCAGGGACTCAGGTGAGAATAAGGGCTCTGGTACTTAAGGTGCTGGTTTGATATGAGTTCCAGAAATGGAGTGGGACTTTGGCCAAACTACCTCTGAGTCAGGCTGTGGAGGATTAAGGCCAGGGAAGCCCAGAACGTGGCCCTGGACTATGGTGATGGGTGGGGCACTTTGTCTTTTGTAGTGACCAAAATAGAAAAGGGCAAGGCAGGACCCCAGAAGCAGAGGGGGCAGAGGCCCAGTGGTGTAAGTCAGCTGTCCTTGGTGGGTTTTTCTACAGTCCCACCAATGCCCAGTGCTCAGCTTGTCCCTGCAGACCCCACAAGAGCATTGTGGTACCACTTTGTGCAGCCTCCCAGGCAGGTTGCCACTGTCTCTCTTGTTGGGCATGGACTGCCCATCCCCATCCCCCAGCTGGGGCTAATCCAGTGCTTTGGCTCCCTTGCTCTGCAGCCCCAAGGTCAAGAGACTGGCTCTATAAAGGCCCAGCATTAGCGAAGGCCGTGTGGCTCCATTGCCTGGCGTGGTGAGGAAGTGTTGTGGCTACAGAGTAGGCTGGCCAGCTGCCAGCAAAGCATATCGTTTTGCCACTCTAGCTGATTGGCTGCTGTGGGTGGTGCGGCTAGGAGGGCAAGGCAGAGCAAGCCAGCTTCTACCAGTCTCTTTGCATCACACCAAAGCAAGTGCTGCCACATGCTGGGAAAACAGTGCAGCAGGTGCAGCTACTGGGAGCTCCCCAGCAGAGCCAGTTGGCACTGGGAGAAGCAGGTGTGTATGTACTTGAGGGGGACCCCTGGGAACAGTACCATGCCCTTAGGGGTGCCTGGGTAGGGTGTGGGGAGTAGGGAGCCAGGGTTTATGTTATCTCACATCTTCTCTACTTCCTCAGGTGTAACCGCTATGGCTTGGTGCCTCTGGCACGGGTAATGGAGCAAGGCCAGTACCACTATGACCCTGCCCTGGGGAAGACAGGCAGCCCTACCCCATACCCTCCTTCCCCAGACAAAGGCAAGAAGCCCTCTAGGCTGGACAAGAAGCACAAGAAGCACAAAAAGCAGATGGGAAAAAGCCCTGCTAGGGCCATGAAACATGGTGACGGCATCCAGAGTTTGCAGAGCCACATGAAGGACCAGAAGCCCATGACACCCTTGCTGCCCAGGAGGTTGGACACACTGCTCCTTACTCCTAACAAGAGTAGGGTCTCACCCACATTAGGGCATGTCCCAGCATCAGTGAGGCAAAAACCAGGTACTCTTGCTACAAGTACCTCATTGGAGCAGGGCACCATGACAGGGAAAGAACACCTGTCCACAGGAGGGTACCATGTGGAGCAGAAGGTACAGCACCAAACCAGGGGTCCAGCATACTCTGCCCAAAGGACCAACTCCATGAAGCAGAGAGTGATTCCCCCTCCAGCCTTGGAGATGCACAGGGTAATCCCTGCACCACATCAGAACAAACAGCACCACCTGAGTGAGTGACTGCAAAGAGGAATGGGGCTGAGGGGGAGTGGGGAGGCAAAGGTGCAGTGCTGGTGGCCCGGAGCAGTCGGCAAAGGTGCTTTGCTAGTTCTCAGGGACAGCAGGCACACAGTATGCCCTGCATAGATGCTCCTAGAGACTACCTGTGATGCATGTCTGGTGCCCAGCTTGTGCCCCTGGCATTGGCATAGTGTCCAGTGTGTGGTCAAGGGCATGTACACCCTTTCTGGTCCTGTGATTCCTTGGGAATGAGACATGATATGTCTCAGCTGCTTTCAGCATATTGCCTCCTCTCTCTTTTACCGGGTACAGCAAGGAGCTGCAGGTGCTACCAGCGCCTTGACCAATGCGAGCACAAGATTGCACCCAATGAACTTAAGTATCAGCTGCACAACCTGGACTTCCGGACTCTGTTCCATTGTAACTGCACCCGCAGGTCAGTGCTGCTTCTGCAGGCTCTGGGACTTGTCTTTTTCAAGCACTGGGACATTTGTTGCACAAGGTACCCCTTGTGTAGGCAAGCATTACTCAGCTTGATTCTGATGGGAAGGGAGCAAGGGCACAGGGCTGGGATGTGCCTTCCTCCAACTCTGCATGGAGCAGGACCAATGAATCCCTGATCGCTGGGGCAAGATGCAGAAAGGACAAGCTAGAAGTGTCTAGAGCTGCCGAGGAGGAAACATTCTGTGTGTAGGATCCAGCCCTGCCCAGTCAGGCAAGATACCAGGGCACTTCCCACAGGGGATCTGCCAGCCTGGCAGTGGCACTGAGGAGGGCTGGGGAGACCTAAGTAGGGAGACAGAATGTGGAGATCAGTTTCTTACCAAGTGCAGGAGTAGGTGGGAAGTTGGACACAGTGCTGGATGTTACCCAAGAGATGGGTGGGCCCGTACTGTCTGAGCATGTGCACAGCTGAAGCCTTAGTTTGCAGTGCAGATTCCCAGCCCCACTGTGGCACCAGTCCCCAAGCAAACTTGACAGTTATTTTGGGGCTAGCCCTGCCTAGTCCCACCCTCACCACCTTCAAGCCTGTGCCTTCCTTCCTGAGCATCCCTAGTCCACTGCTGGCTAAATGGAGGTGTGTGCAGGAGGTCAGAGCATCTGCTGTCCCTACTGGGATAAGTGGGGTGAGATGGGGTGCGGGCCAATTCCTGGTGTTATCACTATGTGTCTGTCCCACGCTGGGCATTATGGTGCTGTTGTTAGTTACTCCTCTCTCTTGCAGGCTGGCACGGTTTCTGCGTAGGATACAGAGTCCCAACGAGATGGAAGAGTTGGTGCTGTCCGACTACATCTCCATGGGCTGCTTTGTGCTGGAGCCACCTGCAGGCTGCTTGGCTGGAGAGGACCAGCAACCCAAGTGAGTGCAGCCTCTGCTGTGGGGACAAAGGAAGGGGATTCCTGCCCAGGCCAGCCTTAGGACCTCTGGGAAGGAGAAGTAGGTGCTTCACTTGGCACTCCAGAGTCTGAGCTCTGATTTGAGGTGGGGAAGCCACACAGGCTGGGTGCTGAGCAGAAGGACAGGGCTTGCTTCCCAAGAGCAGGTTGCAAGGCCAGGTACTACAAGGCTTTAACTGTGTTGTTTGACAATTCCTTCATGGTGCTGAGGGAGACAGCAAAGGCTGGGCATAGTTGTTTTCTCACCACTGGGTGGCAGCACAGGACCACCATGTGCTCTGGGAGAGGAGAGAGTAGGTCCTGCTCTTGTGCATCCAGGGACCCTGTCCCCACTGGAGCTGGGGGCAGTGGCTTGCTGGAAGCAACTCCAGGTGCACACTGCAGTTCCACGGCCATTGTCGGCCCAGAACCCCCCACTCAGGCCTCTGCCTCTTCAAGGTGGCAGCAGCAGTCACAGCCTGGGTTTGAATTATGGGGGAGCTTAGGGGGGAGTCCAGGGGGAGGGGGTTAAGCCCCCCGCATAAGAGACAAAAGCCCCCTGTAAGATTTAAAAACCATAACCTGGGGGGGAGGGGGGTTCCGGTTTTATTAGGGTATCATGATGGGCAGCCCTATTTTTTTGTAGACCCCCACAGCAGTCCAAGTGCAATTCAAACCCTGCTCACAGCCCTTGTTAGCAGTGGTGATGCTGACATGTGACTTAGAAGAAGACACAGTCCTTGCTCCATGGGGCATAGTCTGAATGGGGGTGGTGGGGAAGGCTGATTCTGGGGAGTCCTGGCCACCCAGGAAGGCCTCAAGGCCTCAGTTTGGCCACCCAAGACAGACAGGGGAGGGTAGAAGGACTGCAAAACTAGGCCTCAACCCTCTAGGCCTCTACCCCCCCACCCATTGGCCACTTCAGCCCCAGGCAGGGTGACTGCCCCAACTTAGTTCCAGGGCAGACAGCTATAGCAGGGACTATGTACAAAGTTGGGGAAGTGAGGGGAGCAGCAGCTAGTGGACATACCCCTAAGCAAACTGCTCTGTGTTCTCTCTGGCAGCTGTATTGGCAAGGGCCGGGCTGTCCTTGTGCCTGCAGGGCATCTGAAGAACACACTGAAGAGATGGGGGAAGCAACCCCCAGCCCCCGTCAAAGTCAAGCGGCAAGAATGGGAGGCACAAGGTGGAACAATCGGGCTCTATAACAAGTGTCTCCAGCTGGCCAGGGCAGTGCAGAGACGTGATGCTAAGCTTGGTACATCACTTCCCCGAGCCAAGGCAGCCTCAGAGCATATGGACACAGCATGGGAAAATCCACAGGCACATACAGGCAGTGCATCATACTGACTTCACAGCCAGCACTAGCATCACTTGGCTCTGAGACAAGAGAAAGAGTGAGCTTGAGCACAGTCTGCTGCACTTGAGCCCTGGTTGGACAGTATGTATCATCACATGGAGATCTGGGATAGCCCCAGCCCCCTACAGCAAAAGTTGGGGAGATAGGACAAGATGGCACAGATGCCTGTCCCCTCCTTGTCCTTACCCTACTGTGGGCTGGGGTGGTCCTGGAAGCAGGAGGGAATGATGCTGGTTGGTACCAACCCAGGATAGCAGAACCCCTCCCCTAAACATCCATGTGTCCAGGAGGCGCAGGTCCCCCCCACCTTTTTTTTTCTCAAGAAGTTAAATAGCCCCAGTGCTGTGGGAGAGGCTGTGTTGGGGTAGAAGCCCAGTATGCAGGGATGCCCTAAAGGCACGTGCCACAGCTGGATGCAAGGACACCTCCCCTCCACAAGGGAGCTTGCAAGGCCAGGCCACTGTTCCCCAAAGGTAATAGGGGGTCTCTGTCCTGCCCGGGATCTGATATCCTGTAGAGGTTCCACTACCAGTAGCCATTCCCCTACCTCCCTGCCTCTAACTCTGGAGTGTCCAAAGGCTCAGCTGAATCTCTCCAAGGCTGTCAAGAAGCTGAGGCTCTGGGCAGGAGTGTCCAGAGGCCAGAGGGAGGGCCTCTGAGCCAGGTCTTTGGAGTTCAGCCTTGCTGCATAAGCCTTTTGCCTCTTTCTACCTTTCTAGCCAGGTATGTTCTATCCCCCTTTTTATAGCACTGCAGCATGGTCTTGTAAGCCTTATGACTTGCAGCCTGACACTGCACTCTTCCTGGAATGGGGCATGCCTGCTGCTGCAATCCAGTCTGTGCCTGCAGTTGTGGTGCATATGATAGCAAAGTTATGAGATTTATGTGCAGGGGTGGAGCTGTGCCCTCTGCTGGTCTCCACCCCTTGGTGGGCCTTGGCTTTCTGCCTGTAAATAATGTAGAAATAAAGATCTTAGTTCAGTCCTGCCATATCCTATCATTGGTCTTGGTAAAGTCATCAACACGGGGATCTGCCTTGCACCCATGCTTCAACCTCCCTGTTAGGCACAGCCTTGGTTCCACCCCTGCTCATATCCTCCCCACCTTGTTCTGTTCACCATCTACTTCCTTTCCCAGCCCCTGGCAGGGGAGGGATGGCTCCTCACCCCAGTTCCCTTTGGCTGGTAGGCATCACAGTAGACATGGACCCTGCTATTTTGTTCTCTGCTGAGAAGTGACTGCTGCTAATTTTAGCCCAGTACAAAGCTGAGCACAGCAGGGGAGCTGCTGCTTTCATGCAGGAAGGGGCACATGGAACATGTGAACAGGGATCCAAAGTGCCTCTGGGGACTTGGCCCTGACTGGAATCTGCCAAGACCTTGGTCCAAAGGTAGGACAGAGCCAGGGCAAAGAGAGTCCGTATGGAAAACGTTCCTACACTACCTCAGTGCTTGGGCACATTCTTGTCACACCCTGCCTGTTCCACAGCCAGGAAGAAATCTGTCTCATGTTGCCTACTGGTATAATCTCTTCTTCCTGCTCCCCAGCCAGCTTAGAAAACTGTGCACCCAGGGGTCACATCCTGCACAGGACCCACGCACTGACTGCAGCTGCTGCAGAATTGGCTCACAAAAAACCTTGGCATCCTGTTGTAGTATAGGATCAACACTGACCGGCTGTGATGGGAGAATGTATGCCCCATCCCCTATCAAACTCTTCACCCAATTTACTTCAGCACAGAGCCTCTGGGAAGCCTACTTGAGCACTGGGGTCAAGACTGATTGCAAACATAAGAGCATCTTCTACAAGCCCCCTTCCACACAGCAGCAGTCCCCTCAGGACCATTCTGCGGCATGGTGGTCAGCATTGCCCACAAAAGGGAAAGCACCCTCTATCATACTTCTTGCAGCACAAGGCCCTTTAGCACCCCATTTATGATGTTTCCTAGCACAGCTGGTGTCCTCACCATGCCAGCTACGCTGCCCAAGTCCTAACCTTGCCATTTGTCCCCTTCTCAGTCTCGGGTTTCTCTCAACCTCTGCTTTTTCCTGCCACCACAGTGTCAACGAATGAAAGCACAGCATTGCTAGAGGGTGGAAGGGTGGTTTATTCCATCACTTGCAGTGTGGTATGACACAATGCATCAGAGCTATACTATTCCTGAGCCACAGGCATGGAGTATCCAGACTCACCCACTCCCCTAACAGCTTCTGTCCATTCCCTAATCCCAGGGTACTTACAAAAGCTGACTAGACACACACCAGGCTCTGGAGAGCAAACTGCACACAGCTGTGCACCATGGGGAGGAGCACTCCTTCCCCTTCTTGAGCTCCTGCTCTAGTCACTTCTAATAGCTCCCTGCCACCATTCTCAAACCCTTCTCTGTCACATGAAGGCATCCAGTTCCTCTCTGCCATCCCTTACCACCTCCACAGTAGCTTCCTACAACCAGAGCTTCATCACCACCCCCCACAGCCTCTTGGGTCAAATCTCACCCAAGTATCAGTCTGCCAAAGCCATTGCCATGGCAATGTGATGCTGCCATGGGCTCCCTGCATGGCCCAAAAGCCAGCCAAGCCTCGGCCAATGTTCAGCTTGCTTGGTCACCATAACTCTTTACCATTGACCATAACTATTTCCCATGGAAGAGGCCAGCTGGCTCCCAAGCAGGCTGCTCTGAAAGTGGGACACCTCAAGACACCTCCTTGTCCATCTTTGAGTCACTGTCTGGGCTTCGAGGAGCTTCTGTCCCCAAACTCTAGCTCAGCTGTTTCCCACTTTACACCTAGGTACCTTGCAATTGACAGTCACTTCTATGTCCTGGCTCAGCTCTCAGACCTAGGCAGGACCTTCTCCACCCTAGAGAAGACAAACCTTCAGTCACACCAGGCTTATCCCACAGCTGTCCAAAGAATCCCAGTGGCACCACACTGCTTGTACAACACCTGACATAGCAGCCCTTCTAGCCTGGGGCTTGCTGGTCCTTACTCTGACTGGTCTGTGGTCCTCTCTTGCTCCCATCTATACCATACTGTCACAGAATAATGCTCTGCAATTTCTTCCCAGAGAAAAGTCCAGATTGCCCATTTCATCTCTCAAAATATAGAGTCGGCACCAGGTCCCAGCTCTCCAGGTGCACAGAAATTTGGGGAAGATTTAATTACTAGAATAACTTAACAAGGAGGAAAATTCAGGGCAGCTCCATTGGGACGTTGCGTTTCACTCACAACACTTAGCACCACACCAGGAGGGGGTGATTGTCAAAACGGGTGCCGCATGGCTGCAGCTTCCCAGGGATGTGACCATGTTGCATGGACACTTGCTGATGATGCTTCTTATGGAACACCAGATGGGAGGAAAGACTGGAGCATCTGGAGTGGCCAAATTGTGGGCAAGAAAGGCAACACATAGGGAGGCAGACAGCAGCTCTCTATATGGGGATGGTTACTAGTGGTTTCACAACGGTTGGTACCCAGAAGTTGCTGCGCAGTGCCAGCCCACCTGTCCTCAGTGGCTCATGTTGCGGACATAGCTCTCCAGGTCCTTGGCTTCCTTGGGACTGGACCCTTCTTTGGGGGAGGTGCTGAACAGGCCTGCCAGCATGGCTGTGGGGCTAGTGGGGCTCATCCGCCTGGCAGGGTAACCCTGGTCAGCACTCCCTCTCCTCTGGTCCATGGCCTGGTCGAAGGTCTCCAAGCGGAGAGTGGGTAACAGACTGAGGTTCCTGGGGTCAGTCTTGGCCAGGGGACTGTCACGGATTCCCCCATGCTCCCCCACAGTCCGGTAGGAGGGTGCAATACAGCTCTCCCTACTCTCCAGGGTCCTTGCTGGCTCCTTGCCCTTGGAATTGAACCGAGGTAGCTGGTCCTGGGGCAGGTGGATGCTGGGGATGTCTCCTTTGAGGCCACAGTGACTTTGTGGTGATGGGCTGCGGCTGGCTGCTCTTTCCCGGCTTGATGGCCGCAGGATGAGCCCCTGGAACTTGGACAGGCCAGGACTCCGGCTCCGGTGCCTTTTCATTTTACCAGGGCTGGGGCTACGGGATTTGGGTGCCAGCAGAACCAGGGTGCTGTCATCCTCTTCATCAGAGCTGGTGCTTGAGCTGTCCATTGGGCTGCTGCCTGCCTCAGATGTGGGCAGCGAGATCTACACACCCAAAGAGAGAATTAACAGCCAGGGGAATGCAATGGTAGGAGAAATGTGCCTTTGCAGAGAGAAGACCTAGGCTGCCCTGCACCTTTGCCCTTTCCCTGTGCCTAGGTCTGGAGCCGCCAAGTGTACTGGAGCCATAGAAGCAACACAGGAGGACTTGAGCAGGCCACTTAGGCTGGTAGCCAGCAACTCTGGGATACAGTTTGGGAAAATGGCACAGGAACATTTGAGATAGGGCCATCTCTATTTTTCTCATGCCTGAGTAATGCCTGGCACAGAAGAGCTCCACAATGCCATCAAAATACCTGTAGTAATACATTCCCACCTCATTCAGCTGCAAGCTCCCATCCCCATGGCATCACCTCAGCCTCCATGAAGCTCCCCAACCTCACAAAAGGCATCACACTCTTTAGAATGATATTCACCCAGTCAGACCCTGCCCAGTTACCCCTACCCCACCTGTAAAACTCCCCTTCCTGCACTGTGCACATGCACTCCTTCCCACCTGCCTGGCACCCCGCATCTCCCCCACAACCTCCCCCTGCGGATTTGCCCAGGCCCCGTCTCTCTGCAGGGCAGTGGCTGACCTGGAAGGGCTCTGTCACCCCAGCAAGGCTGCTGCAGTTGTTGCTGTAGTAACCAAGAATGTATTCGCCTTTCCCTTTGGGTAGTGCCTCCTCAGAAAACATCACCTAAAGCCCAGAGACAGCAAGTGGGTGTCAGGGTGCCATAGAGCAGAAACTGGGTACTAAGCTTACCTCCATGTAATGGCAAGGATCCCAAACATGGGCATTTGAATGTGCACTTGGTATCCAAATGAATTTCTAAAATGATAGGCAAACGCAAAGCAGGACCAGACCAGAAAAAAAATAATCTCTCAGATATACAGCAGCACCACAATGGGGAGCCCCTCTCAGGAAGAGTTTGGAAGAAGAGAAGCCCCAAACCCCAGAACAAAGCCAATCTGCCCTGCACCTCTATTTTAGGTTCAGAACAGGTCCCATCTTCGCCCTCAGCTAGCCTCTGTGGCTGGATGGCTCTGGTCAGTACTTTGTGATCTGCTGACTTAGGTTTAAGCAACAAATCTGTGGAGTTCAGAGGCCCAGCAGAGCCAAATGCCTGTGCCACAGCCTTCCTCCCAAATCCCTGGGGAGGAAAAGCACAACAGTACTGGCACCACATATACTGACAGAACAGTAGTGCAGATCACCAGCCTCAGCAGAGGATGCCAGTCCTCTGGAGATGCACAGTCCCTGCTCAAGCACAGAGTTCAACAGGTTGCCTGGGCCTGGGAGATGCCCCAACTCATGGGGCCAGGGCCATCTCCACCATGGGGACACACACACAGAGGGACCAATTCACCTCCAGAGTCCTACTAGCACACAATGCCCCATCCCTTTACAACCAGGGCTAGGACTCCGCATCTTCCGCAGTTTCTCTTATCTGGTGGCCCACAGATGACCCACTCCATTCTGGGGTAGGATCACCACTGATCTCAGGTGCCTCCCATTCAGCTGTGTGTTCCCCTGGCATGGAATAGGCTGCTTAAACAACTGCAGGAGCTTAAACTGAGTACGAAGCTAGAGAGACTGCTCTGATCTCAACAGGTAGGGGCTAGCTTCCCATTAGGCCAGAAAGGAATGAAGCAGCTATGGGAAAGGTTCAGCCTAGGACTTGGGAACACAGCCAAGGGTAGGAGGGCCAGCCCAAGCCAAGCCAGTAGGGTGCAGAGCCTGCAGCCAGCGGTATTCCCAGTCTCTGCTCCCCAACACCTCACCCCATGGCTCAACTGCTGACACAGGTGGAACTGCATCCCAGCAAACATGTTGGCAGCTCCCCAGTTGTCAGACTGATGCTGGCCATGGCATCTCCCACACACATGGCTGCATGGGGGGTGAAGGCTCTGTTCTATCCTCCCACACACGTGGGGTCTCCAGGCCTAGCAGAGCCAAATGCCAGTGCCACAGCCTTGCTCCCAGATCCCTGGGGAGGAAAAGTACAGTGATATTGGCACCACACATATTGACAGGACAGCAGTGCAGATCACCCATCTCAGCAGAGGATGCCAGCACCCTTTGGAGATGCATAGTCCCTGCTCAAGCACAGAGGTCTACAGGTTGCCTGGGACTGGGAGATGCCTCAGCTCATGAGGCCAGGGCAATCTCCACCATGGGGCCATACATACTACTGCAGAAAGACCGATTCAGACCTGGTGTATGCTTCCGTCTGTATCCTCATGCTTGGCCCATACATAGGACACGTAGTCTTTAGGGTGCCTGAAGCCTACCTGCAGGAAAGAGAAACAGCTAGCAGGCTAGAACCCCCACAGTTCACCAACCAGAGAACCTACTCCTGCCCCCATTAAATGCCCAATTTGGATCCTAGCCTATGAAGGCTTCCAAATCAAACCCTCAGCTCCCAGCCACCTCTACCATGCCCCAAGCCAATTTGGGGTTTCCATTAAGGCCACATAAGGTCTGATCTTTCAATTAGTGCTAAACACCCACAGCTCCCTTTCATTGATAGCATTGCCAGCTGCAGCACCCAAAATGCACAGGCCAGATCCCAGAAACCATGGGATTGAGGCATTTTTAAATCTTGTGGTTTTTAAGCCAATGGCTGTTCTCGCTCTGCCTCTGAGATGTGGAAACAGCAAGGGGTGCAAGCCAGGGGACCCATGCTCTCTCTGCCTGTGATAGCCAGGGTCATCAGGGACCCCATGTCCACTCTACCTTTGCTGGTGGGAATCTCATGCCTTCTCTGCCTTTGGGGTTCAGAGGTACTTGGGGGGCACTTTCAGGTTCTTTTCCCCATCCACAGGGGAGAGAAGATTTCACTTAAAAACTGAAAGATACATTCTTTTCCAGCCACGACTCCAAGACCTGGAGCTTTATGAAAGGACAGCATTAGCTCCGCTGATCATCACAGCCTGACTATAGAGATCAAACAGGGGCTGAGAAACCAGGACTCAGGCACCCAAAACTCAGTGGAGACTTTGGCCAGAAATCCAGCCTTCCCCAAACCTGCCTAGCTGGCACTGGAGCATCAGGTATAGAGTGGTTGTCTGCCTCTATTTGGGGTCAGGAGAGGAAAACATGTTGGCTAGGGTTTGTTCAGTTATGTCCTTTCACGCTCTAGCATTAGCAATAATACCTTATGTTACAGTCATTTATGAAGGACATCCTCCACCCACTCCTTCCTCGCCTGCAAGGGACCTAGCATAGTGATGCCTCGTGCAGAGCCCAGGAAGGGTCTTAACACACAGTGACCTCGGTACCAGCCTACTACAGGAACTGTAGTTAGGAATAATTCCTGCCAGGTTGGATAAAAATCAATTATTTTTTTTAAAGGCGACAAAAAAATCTGTTGAGTTTTTTTTATTTAAATAAGATTTTTGACTTAATCATATGTTTTGATTTTTTTTTGTTAAGATGCTTTAAAAATGATACAAAGCTAGTTTTAATTTAAGATATGTTAAAGTTTGAAGATATCATCATGGAATAGGGATGATAGCTTCTAATTATATACTATTTGAGACAATATAACCTTTTTAGAAAAGTTTTATAAATAGGTCACAACAGGCCATGGACTATATTAGGGGCCCAATCTTATGGGGTTCCCAGAGGCTCCTCTATAGATTAGTAAAGATTACCCAATGGGACTCAGTGCCCAGTCTAGAAGATTCCATTAAGCATCTCTGGTATGCTAGGTTTCAGTTCTCAGTCTGTAGATTTGTGACTGGAAAGATAACATCCTTGTTAACAGCAGTATATGGAGATGAAAGATAACAGACCTGATTACCTACCCATCAGCCCTATTGCCTCTCTGCAAGTTTGTGTATAAAGAGCCAAGCTCTTACCCCTCTCTAAAAGTGCAAAGTTTCAAGAAGTTAAATGAATAGAGAATTATTGAGGTGGAGTAGAGCTGGGCAAAGAGGAGGAGTCTGGAGATAAATGCAAGGAGGGAGGGGCAGTAGAAACAAGAGAGAAACATTTTGAGCAGAATATTCCAGAAATCCTGAGGAATAAGTTTCTGAATATAGCCTCTCCATTGATTTGAGATCTAGCGAGGGAATGATATGGAAGAAGGGAAAAACCTATCATGGCAGTCAGCTTCCAGGCCATAAAAGAAACGAGACTCTATTTGGAAATATTTTAATAAAGTTCCTCTACCTGTAGGTAAGACAGGCTTGCATGCAAAACGCAAACAGTGCAACAAAGAAATGCAAGGCCTTATTTCAGGGGTGGGCAAAATGCGACCCGTGGGCCAGATGCAGCCTGCCAGGCCATTCTATCCAGCCCGCAGGGCCCCTAAAACATTTAGAAAATTAATATTTATCTGCCCCTGGCTGCCTGTCATGTGGCCCTCGATGGCTTGCCAAAACTCAGTAGGCAGCCCTCCACCCAAAATAATTGCCTGCCCCTGCCTTATCTGCTAATGATACCAGTGTTCCAGGCAAATGTATGACACATAGTATATCACCTGTAGCAAAAAGAAAAAAAAATCTCCATCATCCAGAAACAACTATAGATATGTTTGTAATAAGAACTAGCAGATTACAGCAAGAATTAAATTGATGGAAAAAATTGCTCAGTTTGTTTATGCAACAAACTTTCCTGTCCATATGGTTGAGAACACACGCTTCATTGAGATGGTTCAGTCATTAAGACCAGGATTGAATCCACCCGCCTGCTCTGAAAGCAGATATAGCAGGCAAATTGCTGGATAAAGTGCATGAGAAAGAAACTGAACAGTGTACAAAAAGTCTAGAGGGGAAAATTGTTAACTTGAGTCTTGATGGGTGGAGCAATGCCCACAATGATCCAGTAATGTGTGCTTGCATGACAGCAGAAGAAGGGACTGTCTACCTTACAGAAACAATTCATACATCAGGAAATGCACACACAGCAGAATACTTACAAGAAGTAGAAGTAACAATAAAAGCTATAACAAACTGTGAAAAAAATTCAAATGTCTACTAGGCAGCGGTCACAGACAATGCTACAAATGTATCAAAGATGAAAAGAAATCTAGAAGAAAGTGAAAAAAAAACCCCAAGCTAGTAACATATTGCTGCAGCACTCATTTGATGCACCTCTTAGCCAAAGACTTCAGTGCTCCCGAAATAAAGGGTAATATTGTTGAAATGGCAAAATACTTCTATAACAGCCATTTTGCAGCAGTTGCTCTGAAGAAAGCAGAAGGAACCAAACTAACTCGTCCACAAGATGTGTGATGGAATTCATTAGTGGACTGTTTTGAACAGTATATTGAGAACTGGTCTAATCTGATGACAATTTGTGAGAAAATTGTGACAAAATAGATGGAACTGCCATAGCCAAAGTTCTCAACATAGGGCTAAAGAGAAATGTAGAACATATGCTGACTATCTTGAAGCCTATTTCTGTAGCCTTGAACAAGGTGCAGGGAAATTGCTGTTTTATTGCTGATGCTGTTGAAATTTGGAAGGAACTGAGTGAGACCTTGAAAAGAGAAATACGCAATGACAGAGTTAAATTACAGGCATTAAAACAAAATGGATCGAGCACTATCTCCAGTTCATTTTCTTGCCAATAGTCTCAATACTCAGTAATAGGGTCAGTCCTTAACTTCTGAAGAAGAGGAGTTGGCTGTGACCTGGGCATCCAGCAAGCATCCCTCCATAATACCAACTATAATAAATTTCAGGGCTAAGGATGAACCATTCAAGAAATATATGTTGGCTGATGAGGTCTTAAAGTCACACCAGTGAACTGGTGGAAGTCACTTAAGCACCTGGATCCATCAGAGTCTATTGAAGTGATAACCCAGCTTTTAACAGCCGTAGCTGCTTCTGCAGGTGCAGAAAAAAAATATTTTCTTTCTTAGGATTAATTAATTCTAAATTAAGAAATCACTTGGGAACTGAAAAAGCAGGAAATCTTGTCTTTCTTTCCCAGACCCAGTCTATGAATAAACAGGAAGAGGAAGGTGAAGACTAAGTTTGTTGCATAACCCAGTATTTTAAGTTGCTCATGTTGACCTGGCTGATATAATCTATTTAATTTTTGTTAAAAACGCATTTCACATGTATAACTAAAATAGTTAAAAATTCAAAAATACATATGCTTGTTTTGTTAAAATAATTATACATGTTTGTTGTTGAAGAAAAATATCCAAAATAAATAAGCTTGCTGTTTTAGTTAAATAAAACAATTTAGATCTCTATTGATCTTGGTGACAGTTGTTGTTGTCCTAATACAACTTGACAAAAATATCCCCCAAATATTCCTCATTAATCTAGTGAATTGGAGATAGCTTGCCTCCCAATGACTTCAGTTAGCTTTGGTAAATAAAATAATCAAATCATAATTCAGTTTTCTGATGTAGCTGCAAAATTAGCTGTAACTGAAAAAATATTTAAAAAAAAAAATCACTGCTTTAAAATGTATAGTGTATACCTTCTAAAAATGAAAACTCACATCTCTCTCTGAGTTATGAATAATATGTATTAAGCTTATATCAAACAACAAGAATGCACTTCTTTGTAGAAACCAATGATTGAACCAAAGCTTCCTGACCACTGATTTAAATCATGATTTAAATCAAATCCAC